ATAAAAAAATGCTGGCAAGGAAATAACTTTTTAGTGGATGCATGCATGAAGTCCGTTTTCAATGTATTTCTTAAAAATATATGCCACTTGGCTTGAGAATGCAAATACATTCATATATATTAAATGTGGCTTACAGTAAATGTCAAATAATTTTTAGGAGGTGCTCATGGGAGTTTTAGCTTTTGAAATTATCTGTTAAGCTGTATAAAATGTAACAATGTTTAAAGTGTGACATGTAAAGTGTTAATGATAAATATAAATATGTATTTATTTGTTTGTTTGTTTATTTTTTATTGATTGATTTATTTTATTAGTAGTATATATATATATATTTTTATTTTTTTTTTTATTTTTTGACAGCTTTCATGTTAAATTGTATTTCTGATCAAATAAATCTCAGCCTTATTGAGTATAGGAGACTTCTCTCAAAATCATTTGAAATATCTTACCCTAAATATTTTACATTTATTACAATAAAACTTTGTGAAAGTACATCTTTATTTTTTTGTCATATAAACATCCAAAAATGGAGTGAGTCACATGTTTGTTCTGATTCAGCGAGCAATTTGTTAGACAGATTCAAACGGGAGTAAAAATAACCGACTCGTATGTTTGTGAATCAGATTACACAGATCATGCTGTATGTTTTTCAGCAACAAAATCAACGCAACAAAGATGTTTTGTTTGTTTACTTCTTTATTATTATATTTTGCTGTACCCTTTAAGCACAAAACTTCACAACTGAAATTTACAAGTGCTTTTCTCATGGTGCTTTATATTTAGTAGCGTCACTGCTGAATATAGCACTGCAAGAAACATTGCATTGAGTTCAAATCTATTTAAACCTTTAATCGATTAACACTATACTACTGTTTAACAGAATGCTCTACAATTTCACACTTAAAGGCATACTTCACCCAAAAATTTTAATTCTGTCTTCATTACTCAGCCACTGACTTCCATTTTATGGAAACAAAAAAAAACAAAAACATGGAAGCCAATGGCTACCATCAACTGTTTGGCTACCCATACTCTTCAAAATATCTTATTTTGTGTTCAACAGAAGAAAGAAACTCATACAGGTTTGGAACGACACGAGGGTGAGTAAATAATGAACATTTTTGGGTGAACAATCCCTTTAAAAGCTAAATGAAAGTGGCAGTGGCCCCGACTTTATTACAACGGCACTGGATGTGGAAACTCACCCAGAGTCTCCAAGAATGATCACCTTCAGAAGAACTTTCTTCCTTGATGTCATAGTTTCACAGCTGGGGAGGAGAAAGCACAGAGCATGAAGCCAAGATTTCAACAGCACAACTCCTATGAATAAAAAGGAAGTGAAAGCCAAAACTGGTTGTACTCAAACAGGCCTATATCAAGGACATGCAGACAGGACAGGAACCTTGTAGCATGTAGTAAGCTAACTACTATAGCTAAAAGCACAATCACCCATTTGACTGAACTTACACACTCGAAGTGTGCTATAAAAGCCTTTTTTGTTTCAATGACAAAACCCATGATTCTGCTTGCACTCTCAAACAGGTCATGTGCACTCTATCTACCAAAGTCACGAGAAACTAGCTCTTACAACCAACATGTACTGTTGCCCGCCTACTGTTAAACACACAGACTTCCCTTTTTAAGCGAAGGGCTTGAACACGCCATTCACTAAATTCTTCTCCATCTTTTAATCAATACAGCAGGTCCATCGGTTGAGGTACTGCTGTTTATCCAGGCCAGGAAAGTGAGGGCATGGACTGCTAAACACTTTAGGAAGTTAACCAAAATGACAGCGTTGCATGGAATTGTACATCCTGTAACAACAACCACCATCAAAAAACTAGCTGGCATTAACAGAGGATCTCAGGTCACATAATATATTGTGCCAATAAACAACATTTGAATGGCAGAGCATGCAGCGATCATAAATTAGGATGACTACAACTTATTTAATTAAGTCATAATTTTTCCATATTATGGCCGATAACCATATTAAACTGTATTAACCATATTAAAATTCAATATTATTTTGTCTTAATAAATAAAAAAAATGTAGTAGTAAATACTAAAATCAATCATTTTAAATGCTACAAGTGAATTTAGGCATCGCAATATTATAATGTACAGTATAAAAAATGGAAATATACATCAGATTTGCTGAAGATTACATTTAACAGGCAATACTAATTATTATTTTTTTAAATTATAAATTATTACTGTTTTAAAAACAACTAAGTGTTTGATAATGGCAAATGAGATTAGACAGACAGACAGACAGACAGATAGATAGATAGATAGATAGATAGATAGATAGACAGATAGATAGATAGATAGATAGACAGATAGATAGATAGCGGCTGATATAAAATCCAAAATCTACCAATATATTCTCCATCCTTAATGGCAACTTCAGAAATATGAAGTAAAAGTGGCAAGAATGGTAGACTGTCACTACTAAAATGCATAATATTATACAACAAGGGTTTGGTCGGTGTATTGACATACCTTGCGAAATAGTAGTATGACATCATAATTTAAACCATGGCATAGTTTGATAAGGTTTGATGTTTCTTTCAGCAATTATCTCAAAAATGTGAATCATATCACCTTCGAAGACATCACAGAGGCTGAGCATATCAAGACCACCTCTAAAGGCGGGCGTACACGGTGCGATTTTTGCTGTCGTACGAGCTCGCAGGCGATTTTTTTCTCTCGGGAGAAAATCGCAGATGCTTGCGGCTCGTACCGTGTGAGAAGAATTACGGGCCGATCCGAGACGTTACGAGCACCTCCCGTCCTCCCGATCATTTTCAAACATGTAAAAAAAAATCGGATGCTGTCGGTTTAAATTTGTGGCGTATGTGCGGTTGAACGAGACGATTTGGCGATCCATCTGAAGTTGACCAATCAGAAGATGACAAAAACCATATAGTCTATAATAATTTTAGTTTAATTAAAAGCGATATAAAAAAAAAAAAAAAAAAAAAAGCATAATACTACTATAATAAAAATGGTATAGCGATACTAAACTTCTAATAATAAAAGTTCATTTGACTTTCTTGATAATCAGTCTCCAAATTTATACAAGAGCAAACAATAGTTTCAAACTGGCAACAGAATCCGGATGCAAACATTTAGATGGAAAAAATATCTTTGCTTATGAGTAAACAGCAAGATATTATGTCCAGACAATGTAAACCCACCTTTCCTGCTGCTATATTGAGAGTCATATTGGGGGGAGTGCTGTTTCAATGTTTAAAAAAAATAAGAAAATCAGCTTTAACATTAAACACTTTGTAAAACCACTGACATGGCATATGATCATAGGTTCAAGTGGTGAAACTTATACCTATTAGTACCTTTTAACTGCTCATCTTCATATTATGTAACAACTGGGCTAAAATCAGGCAGATAAAATCAAATGTGGAGTGGATTATGTAATTAGTCTTTCATTTAGTAAAACAGCATCCAACTGCAAGGTTGGGCTATTAGGTTACATTTTGAAACTCAGAACAGTAGGACAGTTTTTAGCATGTCTGTGGAAATCAAGGCTTTCCATGTCATGTCAGTTTCGTTAGCTGAACAATCGGTATGTTGCTAAATAACAGCACAATCCACTGAACGCACTGTACTTTTTTCTCACAGCCTAGTTGTCATTACTGTCAAAAATTAAATATAGCGCTACCGTGACTACCGTGTGAAGGTCTATGGTGCATGTTCAAAAAACAGATTTTGTTAGCTTTCATCAAGATAAGGCATCAGTTTTTCCACTTTAAATGCAGAGAAGTTGAGAGAAATAACTGTTTTTCGACATATCCCACTCAAACCTTGCAAAACGCTTCTTTCTACATCAAAATTAGCATGAATATCAAAATCCAGCAGACATTTCTTATTACTATGCTGATCCTACATGAAAGCTTAGCGTATGTTCACTGACAAATATATGTAGGCTCCAAATAAGTAAGGCATCATGAAATGACCCTAAGGAATGAAACAATTGCTTGATTTTCTTTAAAAATGGCTTACATTGAATTACAATTACTAAAGAAAATATCTGAACAATAAATATAGTGTTCAACTTCAAGCAGCAGTACATACTAAAAAGCTGCTGTAAGAAAAGCCCTCATCATGGTTCAGAAGGATCCACAAGTGGACTGAAGAGCTCCTCCACACAAACACCATAACTCAAAGTCACCTACCTGGAACACTTGTTGTCTCTTAAAAGACATTGTAGTATATCACATTATTTCTGTAATACTACACAGCTATTAAGAAAAGATGTAACTGCCAATAAACTCAAGAAATACATGGAAAGAAAGCAACACCCCTGAAAATAACCAGGATATTGATAAATTGCTGATGTCTTTCCTCTGATCGTCTTAGGGTTGAAACACAGCAGTGTTGAAATGAAGTAATCTCACGTGTACCCTGGCCAGCCCATATGACACATAAAATCACTATAAAGTCTTTAAGCTTCTTTATGGTTCATCTTCATGACAGTTCAGCTCTGTCTCAAAACCTAACAAGCTGCCTGCATACCTAGGCTGCATATTTGGGCATCAAAGGCATGTTTTTGTAGGAACATGACTTGGACGCCCCCAAAATGAATTCTAGCTCACATAATGTTGCATTGCCTACTGTTTTTAAAAACATTATGTGACACAGAATGTATTAAGCAACACAAAATGTTAGATAATAGGATGCTTCATCATCACCACAACTTTATCACACAGACCTTAGTCAGGGTAATATAGCGCCATATTTAATTTGTGACAGGAGTGAAAACGAGGCTGTGAAGATAGAAGTACAGTGCGTTCAATGGAGTGTAGTACTATTGAGTGTACTACAACATACCGACTGCTGAGTTGACGAAATGTCTCTATGAAAAAACTTCCAGTGGACAAAAAGTCCTGTTTATAAGTTGTGATTTATGAAAATGACATGATCTCGGACCTTTATACAGTGCATGGCATTTTAAAACTGCAAGTCTATTCCTCACAGCCTAGCTTTCATCTGTGTTATTTTGAACTTGCTGCTGAACCTGATTAATTCAGTTTAATTTGTCTAATTCAGCAAGTAGAAATTTAAACAGATGTAACCCGATTTTTTTGTAAACCAAGCAGCATTCTGTTTGTCAACCCGTTGTGAAATCTGAGTGGGAAAATCTTTCGACCTCACATGAGATTCCTGGATTTCTACTGAAAATTGTCAAGTTGGTACAGTAAATGTGGCTGCAGCTTTATCTTGTAGTATAAATACATTCTCAGATATACTACTGTACATCCATAATGTCAGCAAGACCCTGATGTTCCTACTAGAGCCCGACCGATATATCGTTTTGCCGATATTATCGGCCGATATGAGCCTGTTGCCGATATATCGGTATCGGCGAATATGCCACCGATATGCCGTCGATATGAATTTTTTTTTTACAGAACATATAACGTGCTTGAATGCTTGAAATGGTGTAATTACTTGTCCAGCAGAGCACGCTCTATTGTTTGCTACTGGCGACCTGGATGAAACGCTTTTGAAGCTTAAGTCTATGGAAAACCACTGAAACTTTGAACGGCCATATCTCCGTAACGGTGCGGCGAATCCGCACCAAATTCGGGGGATCCCTTCAGCTCGAGGAACCCTCTCGAACGCGAATCGAGTGTACGTCTAGAGGCCCCCTTTCGAATGAGACCACCTCCGCGTCGATAGTCCCCGGGGCTTGGGAGTTACAGGTGGTTAAATTCGCGGTCCGGCGCCGACCGATCAAGCGATCCCGGGGGGCTACCAACGTGCGGAGGGTGGCGTTCGAGAGGGCTCCTC